GCCGCTATAAAGTAAAGTATTTTTAGGCAAGCATTTATTCCGTCCACTGGTGTTAATCGAGGGATTGCAAGTAATATTTGCATGAAATCTCCTGCAATATTAATGCACTCTCAAATGGTCTGATGTTTTCACACAAATCTTGCAAATAAGCAATCAAGAATCTTGAGAGATTTTTAATGCATCATTATGCATTCATTCCAAACAATAAGTTTGCATTTCTGCAATACTTTTTCCATATGTTTTAGAAATTTTGCACGTGGCAGTTTCAACGACGAATAATTTCCAAAGAAATATATCGAAACTCAATTTGTTGCAAAAAAAAAAAAAAGAAAAGAAAAACAAAAAAAAAAACAATTCTAAAAGATAGAAAATACAACATTTAATGGATTATCGAAATTAAATATTGCTATAATAAAATTTATACAATATCAAAACCCGACAGGATGGTGCAATCTTGTAAATAAAATTAGGACGATGAGGAGAATATAAGCTAAACAATGCGGGACGTCACAAAGAGATCTTGGTGCTTACACATCTTTGCAGCATGAGCCATGCTAAAGACCAGCTAACCTCCATGATGACCCTGGTGAAGCTTACCAAAGCTCCTCCTCTACATAAAAAAAAAAACATGTTTAACAACTAAAAAGTTGTCACAGGTGTGACATCTATATAATAGAGGTAAACATGCAGGTGTTCGAACATAACGTTGTATCAAAATTTTAAAACAATCGGTAAAGAACTTTCGGAAATTTAAGATTTTGAACAAACCGTACATTTACATTTATAAATAAATATACATTTCCATCTCATAGAAATTGTAAAAACGTTACCACTTAACGAAAAAAGACAACAAAGGCAACAAGTTCCATGATAGGATAAATTGAAATATTGCAAATCTATAAATTTAACTTTTGAAATAAGATTTTAGCATTCTAAATTTTTATACAGATCAAAATTTCAGCGAAAAATATTTCCAACATCAAACAATTTTATTTTTTCTTTTTCTGCTATCAAGCATATTTCAAAAATTTAAAAAATTTCCCAATGACAAATTAATTTATTACTTTTAAGTTTTGTTAGTTACGTGATATTTTGAATTGATCTAAAAGAATTTTTCGAATCATATTATAGATAATAAGTGCACAGATATAACAAAATGATCAATAAAGATTGCAACTAATTTTTTGTTTTACGAATACTAACTGCAATAGATTTCCAGGTAATTAATTAACTTACAATTAATGTAATACATCCACTCATCCTCGTATAAATTTAGCAACAACACTAATTATTCCATTTGAAGAATGCGATCTTTTCTGTTTTTTTTTCTTACTTTATTTTATTTTACTTTTTTTTTTTTTTTTGCACAATATAAGTTCCCTTTTTTTTTAAAAAACTATCCTTCGATTTGTTTCATTTCTATAATTTGTTTTTAACCCTTATTGCTTTATTGGGTAAGATAGTTTTATAAAGGAAATATATCGTTTCTAAACATCCGTAAATAAATCCATTAACTGCCCACATTTTACCATTTTAAATCAGGTAATACACACAATAATCTATCCCAACCAGAAATATTTTATTTTTAAAATTTTCCCATTTTAATTAACAATTTTAAAAATGATAAGATTTTTTTCAAATTGCAGTTATACATTAACATTTTGCAAATAGTTAATTCGAACGTATCTTATAAATGTCATCTCCTTTCTATCTTTTTTTTTTTTGATTTGGATTAATGGTACAGTTTTTGTACTAATACTGGATATCATATAATGTAAATCATAATTTTTCGTAATTATTGTGATTTTTAGGAGAAAACAAGAATCCGGCTGTACCATTTTTGATATGAACGAAAAATAAATTGCATGAAAAATAAAATGGTCAAAAAGTGACAGATTAAAAAGTAGAATAAAAAGACATTTCCACTCTACTTTATGTATTGCTAACTTCGTCTCATTTTTTTTTGCAAAAAAAAATAATTATCAAATTGAATTAAAAAATTAAAAATTAAAAATTCGATGTTTAATAATTTCAAAAAAAAAAATTATAAAATATTCGTTGAGAAAAAATTGCTTCCAACATATTGTCCATTGAAGGACATTAATTCGTTTTAAACCAATGAAAATGTAGAAGATATTGTTAGAATTAATTTAATTTCTAGGCTGTTACTTACTATTTAGCTTATCGTCAGTGACTAAGAAGCATTAAGTTGCTGAAATGAAAAAGATTTCTTTTTTTCCCTCAATTGAAACTAGAAAAATGCTAATTCATTCTGATGCTGAAATGGAAGGAATTTTTGCAACATTTTTCAATTCATCAATTAAAACAAATAGTTCGCTGGCATAAAATTTTAACTTTTTAAAATTTCAATTTCGTGAAATTGAAGTTAAAATGTTAATAATTCCTTTGAAGTAAAGAGGAATTAATTTGACAAACGCAAAAAAAAAATTTGAAATTGAGTTAATTTGAAGATTATCCAATAAATATTATCCGGTTGTTTAATTTGTCACACTAAAGGAATTCAAATACATTCCGTAATTGAATTGTCTTTTGGTTTTGTTTAGAGTAAGTATTTGTGTGTTTTTTTTTTTTGTTTTCAAACTTTCCATCCTTTCTAAAAATATCATCTATAGAAGTTATTTGTGATTAAATCTGTATGATTTTGCTTTTATTGACATCATTACCGGGTTACTTTTCTAGAAATGTTTATAAAACAATTTTTCACTAATTTTCTTTGTTTGATAGGATGCCTTTTAAAACTTTTTAAATTTCTTGTCACATCTTTTCTGATTATTCGAAAATTTTGAAAATCAAATTGAAATGATATTTTTGAAGATTGAAGATCAAAATCATCTTTAGAACAAATGAATCGACATATGATTTGGGTATTTGCTAATTGATGACATTTGGTGATCTGATGGAATTTGTCAATTTTCTGATACTACATGAACACCAACTGATGGATATTTCATTATTTGGCATCTTAATGATATCAAGTAACTTTTTGCATTTTTTCTGTTTTTAGAAAATTTTCTGAATCTTAAAATTTTTGGATCCTTAAAATTGGCCATACTTTGCTGCATCAAAAATTCAATGCATCTTTTTTTTTTTTCTGTTAAAGTTGTATGATATATCACTCGTATTTTGTATTTTCTTTTTCCCACAACTTTTCTAAAATTACAATCCTAAACTGTGAACTATTTTAAAATGTATGTTTATGTTTCGATTCATTTCAAAAATCATTCTTGAAAAGATATCAAAACGAGATCTTCAGAATGAGACCATACACTATTATTAGCTTAAGGTTAAGTTGTAACTTTTTTCAGTAACAATTGAATATGAATGGTAACATGTTGACGATGTACCATGAATAAATAAGCTGGCAAATATTCTAATTTCATTATCTGTAAATAATTCATAATTAATATTAAGCTAATTGCAATAACATATTTTGAAAGTCTAATTACAACATATTTTCAAATTTCAAAGCAATGATAAAACTTCCTAAAATAGTTAATTTCTTGTACATAATCTCTTCGATACAAATGATATTTAGCTATTTTACGGAATCAGTATTATATATTCAGGATTTGTGTGATATTATTTCATATAAATTTCATCATATTAAAAATATTAAAATGAAAATAATCATTTCTAAAAATAGAATAGTTGTTGTATGATCGAAAATGAACATTTCGAGTAATTTTTGTGTAAAAAAAAAAAGGAAAAATCCCTGGAAAGAAGAAATAATCAGAAAATTTAAGCTGAAACAATTGGAGGATGAAAAGCTGACGAAAAGTATGGATGTAACACATAAGCGCATCTCGAAACATGCACTGATATGTCAGAAAGCTCATCCTTAATGCGATATGCAAATTTTTGATAAATACAAATGGCATCATCCCATTGGTGTTTCTGTCTGATTGGGATAAAGCGGAGGTGTGAACGAGTGCAAAGTTATCTTTGAGCTTCTACTCAACCGGACTCCTCATTTATCATTTTCTCTTTTTGTAGTTACGTGGTCCGGTTTGTTTTGGAACGTTCTCTGTCTTTACATCGTTCAATTCTTGATGTCTTCCTCAAGTCATAATTCTGATAATGGAAAAGGTTAGCATATAGTTAGCTTATAGTTAGCTTATTCGTCCCATTCATTAATTTTTCTTTTCAAATGAACAAATCTTGTAGAAAATAAACTATGAACTTTACAATTTTCTTTTTTTCTTTCTTTTTTTCTGATGATTATCCAGGTTTCTGGGAATTTTTTTTCCATTTTATAGATTGAAAATAAGTTAACCGGAAAAAACGAAAACGTTAACTTTATTAGTATTGAATCATCATTGCTATTCCTATTATTGATTTTTTCTTTGCGAATAATTCCGAATTGACCAGAATCAATTAAAACTGAAACATTTCTTACCAGTTTTTCTTGGCACTGTTTCATATCAGTACTGGAATAAGCATCTAATATGTAATCAATACTGGAATAAGATACTCATTGCTAATCTCATACGTTCTATTTTCACATCCAACCAGAGATTTTACAATCATATCATTATCAGTTCCTTTCTGATTTGTAAAGGTTTCTTGTCAATTCCTTTTAAAGCAAAAAACGATTATGATGCATTTACTGGATTCTTCTTGGTATAGTACAAGCAGGGAAGGATAGCTAACAAATTCAGGATTTTGGTAGTTTGACCGTTCGGCTAGAAATTTCAGAAACACAATAAAGCGAACGCTTCCTTCTGGAAAGTTCTTTTTTATGCAAATTAATCAATCCAAATGTCTGCTATATGAATGAGATGAAGGTCTTATGCTGTTATTGTTTCATGATGACGGAGTTGGGATCAGTGATTTCCGGATTTCTTATATTTATTTTTGCTTATCGGTCGTTTTACATCGAAATGGAGGAAAGATGTTGGCTTAAAATTAAAAGGATTTACTATCTATGGTTAGATAGGTTTCGAGTATTATCTGGAAATAATTCGTTTAGATTTTTAGACATGTCTGCTAAACGAAAGACCGTAAATGTTAGAATCTCTGATGATGAAGACGAAGAGATGCGTGCTATTGAAGGTAGGCATAATTACTTAATGATCATCTATCCACCAAATTTTCGTCTTTTGTTTTATCGATATCCTAAAAATCCGGATAATTCCCGGATATGTAATGTTACCGGATCAGCTGAATATTAACGACATATTATGGCGAAGGAAAAGACGATGCATATTTCAATGATTTCAAAAAGAGATTTGATTTTTTAACAAAACCTTAAGCATTCTGCCATCACAAAAAAAAGTATGTCATTTGTTTAAATTATATTGACTGGTTCAACCATATTGGATTACAACCACATATCATTATTCAGGATAACTATCTATGGCAAAATTTCTCCCAAAGAAACGGTAATTAAGGGAAGGAAGAAGGAAAGCAGGGGAAAGAGAAGGGCAATCAGAAATTCCGAAAAAAAAAAAGTCGCATTTAGAATTTTCTGTTTTTAAAGTATTATACGTACAAATTTTACTTGTAGAAGGTTCCCGTAGAACGCGTCCCGAAACGCAAGCTCCTAACGCGACGAAGAAGAATAGAACGCCGAAAAAACAGCCGAAGAATAGTAGTTTGTCTTTTTGCTTTCACTTTCACTACTATTATCTTGAAGATATTGTTGTAGTAGTATGATATCAAAAAAAGTGCATGCAACATCACATGCAGCAAGGGACAAGTATATTTGATTGAAACACGCAAAACTCTGCACTAGGTCAAGCACAGAATAGGTGTACTTAATTGAAATACGTACAAAATGGCGTGTTAACTATTAATGAGGAACGGATAGCAATTGATATGGTTAGTCTCTTATTTTAAATATGATACATCTGATAATGGCCAATTATCTAAGTATCCTGAGTATGATACATGCATAGGATTTTACGATACATGTGACTAGCATACAATTTTTCTCCTACATAGTCTTGGTTATTCTAGGAAAATTACTGTAGCAAATGATCGAATAATCCTGATGATAAAAGAGATAATGAGTAAATTTGCACATTTCTTGCATTGTTAATGACTATTTCTTGTACATGTTTAGATGCTCCAGCTGCTGGTACCAAGACTGATGATGTGTCACCGGATGTCGTCGACCAAATGAACCGTCCACATATCCAGCAACAATATCCAGTGATGGACCATGCCGCCCGAGCGAATATAATACATCCAGTTATGATCGATCATGCGAACCGTCCCATAAGTATATTATTACACGCACAAAATTTCTCATTTTCTCAATCTTAATATTTAAGTGGGTTGACAGAAAAAAAAAATTCATAAAATTGTAACTTTTCGAAATTCCAGATATGGCACTATATCCAGGAGCTCCATGTTGGTGTAGCCAGATTTCTGGCGATATGCGTGCAATCCGCGAACTGATTGGTGCGGTTTCCAACGGGATTCATTGCATTCTTCAAAAAGTTCACATGGATCAAGTTCACAATGCGGAACTGATGACAAAGATGTTGAACACCGTTGAAATGATTGCGGACACTGTTACCAATCTGCCGCTTGCTCAGTTGCAAGGTTTGATTTAGCGCAGAGCCTTTCCCTTCTTCTAAATAGTTGACCAAATTAAAAAAAATAAACACAAATAAACTAATTAAATGAACCCATATGTATAGGTTAACAAGCACTAAAAACTAATTTGTAATTAAATAATGATTTTTGCCAATTAAGAAACAAATAACTCAAGATCACAACTAATTTGGACTATAATCGCTAAAATCAGTAATTTTTGCCTGGATCTTCTCCCCATAAAACTGATTGTCCATCAAAATACTGCCAGATTTACTGATCGAATATATATTAACATGATAGAACTCCATTAAATGATTCTGACCGTCTACACCGTTTCCTAAATTATCTGTCCATTTTGGATCATAATGAGTCCTCCCTGTTTATAGTTTTTCTTCCATTCAAACAAGAAATTTTGCTATCATCGCAAATCAGTCAATTTTAGAATGTGATCAGTATTTGCTAGAAGAAGCTGCCGCCCCAAATGCTAATGAAAATCCGAATGATGTGGATAATGCGGGAGCCTATTATACGCAAAACGATGAGCAGATGCCGCCACCGAATCAGCCTCCCAATAACAACTTCCGTCCTTTCCAGTGAACGGAATTGTTATAAAAGTTAACTTATGAGAGTAAGCAGTGTGTCAATTGTTGCTTTTTGTTAATAGCTAACCTATTGTTTAGTATTTCCTGTTTTCTAATACATGTTGTTTTTCAATAAATAGTGCAATTGCATGTTTCACAAGATAACAAGTCCAGAAATTTCACTTCTTTCGCCATTGACCGGATCCCACTATTAAAGATGACTAACACGACGAACCAAAGCATTCCCAACATCGGGAATTGCTGCTTATGAAATTAACGTTGATCGAATGTCACATCCCGGTAACGTGATGAAGAACCGACACCGGTTAATACCACCAGAAAGAGCGTAGCTTTAACAGCTTATCGGACAATGAAACAAAGTTGGCTGCAGTAAATTCGTTTTGCTATACTAAAACTGTTCATAAAATTTTTCATTTTTCTCCAGAAACCATTGGTATTTGTGATGAAACAATATTGATCGTTTTATTGAGCAGTAATAGAACAAGGACTACAATATAGGGAATGGTTAGGATGTAATCTCTCTGCAAATTCCAAATCATAACGCAAAACACGCTTCTAGCAAAACGCAACGTCAAAATAAGCGAAATATATTAGAAGGCCTAAATTTACAGTTCCAAGATCTCAAAGTCCCTCCGCTGAACTTTTCGAAACAAACATGCAAATGCAGTCTCTGCCAGTTAGTTTCAGATCTTAGATCAAATTCTGACTCTTTTTAGAGCCATCTATCCATTTCTCAGGAATAAGTAAAAATATGACGACAGAAAAAAAGATTGTTGTTTAGAACAATTCTTGATGTTTACAACAATACAAGCAATACAACATAGTCTGAGCGATAAGAAATCAGCCATATGAATTATTTACATAAATTGGAATGATTTTAAAATATATTTATCTCTCATACAACACACATACACAGAAATATCAAAAAAAAGTATGACCTGATATCCCTTCTATGAAGTATTGAATTTGAAATGCGATGAAAGACTCTACTCGATGATGTCACAGTCATCAACAAGGAAAAAACTGGAGATAAAGAGATTCAAAAGTTTCACTTGATGAAAAATAGAAGCAAATTATTATACAAAACACAAAAGCAAGTAACTGCACAGTATACTACATAAAATAAATAAGGCTTTCAGGTCAAAAAATTTGTTATTACTACAATGTCATCCAATTATAAAACGATAGAAGCACAAAGAGTAGTTGACCGTTTTACTGTTAAAGGGCAAACGTACGAAGTACTAAATGATAACCGCGAAAAAACGCAATAAGAAGTCGGTAATCGCGACAATTCTACATAATCACATTGAAGAAAACTACGCGAAATCTGGACCTGAAACGATTAAACGAAACGTGTGTTAACGTCTGAACAGCATCAAACGTAATGTAATGCAAATGGGGGATTACTGCACTTCAGATTTCCTTACTTTCACCACAGATCTTGATATCCTATTTGTTATATCATATTTGAGTGAACCTACAATGTAAAGCAGTGGTTAATCATTGCTTTGTATAAAACAGCAAACTAATGCAATCACTAAATTCAGTGATATTTACAGACAATGTAGAAATAATTTACATTATGAAATATTATCTTAAATTGTCAAATATACGTCACAAAATGCTAACTTTGAGAGGAGAGAAAAGGATAGAGGAAGAAGAAGACTTCATACAATAATGTAAAACAAAATAAAAGCTTCGAAATTATGTACACATTTGTTCATAATAAACAACTCATTTTTCCCTAATTAATATAGACAAAAAGTAAAATGAGGAGCAAATCCTCCTCAAAGATGCATATTTACCGTGAACCTGCACTCAAATTGAACCAACCATCCAGAATTTTGATCCCTTTACGGTCCGTAGGAATATCCAACAATCTACGCAACGGAATATGCACAGAACCAATCACTGAATTTTCGCCAACCAATGAACCACAATTCCAGATCGATACTTCCAATGCCCGATTAATCAAATTCATATCCGACAGCAACTGGTAATTCAGCTGCAAATCCACAAATTTGAAAATCATTAATAACCATGGCAAAATTCATTAGTATTCACCTATGATTTAAAAAATCAACTCTCCAAATAATAGCAAAGTCCGAATAACTGCGATATTTGATGCATTCTTTCTGAAGGTATGATTGTTTACCAGACTTTGTTTACCATGCATGCATCATTGTCTCATATCATGGTCAAAACGCTAGTCATCAAGCCAATTTTAATCAATTAATGGCTGAGTTATCGGTCTCGAAATAATGCTTAAACTATAACCACAAACTTCTTCGTTAAAAGTTGGCATTTGAGTATTCTTTACAACATGCGTTTTTCGTTTCGAATTTCTTTGCGGATCGGGATGTAGATATCTGTAACAACGAGATCTAGGGAAACGATCGTTAAGGCATAAAACATTTTATATGCTAATCAAATGATAAGAAATATAATTGCAAACGTAAATAACTCACGTTTTGACGTAAGAATCTGGTGCTTGACCGTTAATGATCTTTAGTCCTCTGACGTGACCAACAAATACATTCAAATCTCCATCCTGCTGGTCGTAAGTAAGTCTCAAAAAGATACGGCCAGTTACTTTCTTCGACGGTATGTCGTCCTCATCCACTGCAGTTTACATATGTATATAGTGAAGTTCCTTTTGTAAAAGAAAAACTGAAATACTCTCGCAGCATCGAAACCCAAAGTTATTTCCACCATTTTGTTTAGTAATCGAAAAAGGAGAAAAATCCAACCTTTCGTCAACTGCAGAAATTGATTGGACTCTTCAGGTGCACTGTCGCGAAAAATCATATGGAAGAATGAGTAGACCAAATCACTCTGAATAAATTTTCAAACAACTCTCTTACTTGGCAAGTAATCAATGAAGCTGTATACTTAGTTCAAGGTATCACTATTCCTACTATAACTGTAACAAATTCAATAAAAGTTACTTACACTTGCTACCTCAGGATGATATTCAAAGAGCACATTTAGGAACTGCTGAAGGTCAGCTTGTCTTCTTTCTGCAACCTTGCGTATATTTGAGCGACCAACATTTGTCCCTTGTGAGAGTGGTGGCAGATGTGCAAATGGAAATCTGACAATGAGATAAGAATGGCTAATGCAACAACGAATACACAATAAACTAAACTGCTTACTCTCAGCTTGATAAGCATGAAGCATCGTGATAGCACAAGAAAAGGCATCAACACTTAGATTTTTCGGAATTCATGTAAGGGATGATCTTAGTAATTAAAACAACCTCGAACCTAACTAGTTCTCGTCTCCGATTTTCTTCGTTGTTTCAACCAGGCAGTTGTAGATCAGTCCTTTCTGCCAATTATCATAACTATTCAAATATACCACACATTTGCTGGGGACCCTAATTATTGGCTGACTCGAATGCTATCCCTTTCCAAATATGCCTACACTGTATCCTCACCTCCTGCATAATTTGATATAAAGTTCATTGAATTCCACAAATGACCTATACACAATACCGCAGACTGCTTCGTTTTCTCGGTTCACTTCAACTTTGTACATCTGTTAAAACGATTGTTAATTTATGATTCGTGTAATATTTCACTAAACAATTATTTGCTTGATTTTGACAACAAAATTGTGTTATTAAGCAACTTATAAAGAATAAGCCTTACATAAATTTTTTCTGGTATATGCCACTTCTCGAACGCCAGAACATCGACTCTTGTGATGCGACCGTCATCCTTCATTCTAAAATGAACTTTCCAGTAATTATAAGTCGTCCCAAATGCCGGTAAAATTTGGAAACTAGATATTATAGTCCGTAGTCAAACCTAAATCAAGTGATTAAGGTGCTTCATGGATGAAGAAAAAAATATCAACTGAGAACTTCAATAAGAAAGCATTTTTCGGTAATGTTATTTATCCACAACTTACGTATATAATTGCTGAATGAAGGAAAGTTTATTAGGATCATCGTATCCGCCTCGTAACATTGATGGGGTAGCCCTCATCTGCACCAATGTATGAGCAAGGAAATTTAGTCTAAAATAAAGTGAAGTGATCCAAAGATTCATAAGTGCAATGCACAAAACTAAGACCACTGAAATCGTTTTACAGCAGCGTCTAACCTCCGAGAATTCTAAGTAGAAGTGAAAATATTTTGTGGAAAATACACAAAACTTTACCGAGGAAATTTGCTTTTTAAACTTTCTTCAATCATTCGTGTAAACTGAACAGTTGCCTGCGTGTCAGTCAAATTTAAAAGCAAATTGCTTTGCACAAAATTGACAGCCTCCAAATTCATGCCAGCGATACCCGAACAAGACATCTGCAATATGCACGCATGACAGGAAATTCGAAAGACAGCAAAACTTCATCGTTAATTCAATTCGGCCGAGATCAGCTTTTTTTAGTGACAAACTATCTTATTTTCATTTTCGATATAAAAAACCCTGTGTCCTAGAAAAATCCAATTTACTGAAGTATAGAGTACACTAAAGTGTAAAATAAACCCCTCCTCAAACTATTTCACTCTCCATAGACCATAGCTGACACCATTAAGAGGAAACAGTATTTTGTGCAAGAAGAGACGAAATAGAGTAGTGACTTCTCGTGCTTTGAAATACTTGTTTACATACCATTTTCATAAGGTTTACGAGTAATGAATATTTTTTTCGAAGCAAATTGAAGGCTTTACAACAGTTATCAACAAACTGCTGATAACGGCTTGTTGCTGACTGAGGAGAACCTTCGTTGATGACGTAAGCCATATCACTGGTAAAAATAAAAGGTGTGCGATCTCTGGAAATAAATTTCGTGTTTCTGAACATAATTGTCAAAGCACTACTAATTTCAAAAGGCGAATGCCGTTCTCGTATATGAACTAACCTTCGGAATCCAGCAGCCGTTTGCCAATCACCCATATATTTGCCAAAATCAATATGGAAAACATGACCCGTCCTAGTAACTAATATATTATCATTATGTCGATCGCCAATACCGAGTACATAGGTGGCAACGCACCAACCTGCGCAAGATAAATGAAAATTCTCCAGTGCCTGCAAGTTATTTTATAATAAAATCTAATAACAGTGATGCTAACCCGAGATTACTTAACTAATCAATTGTTCAGATAT